TGTGTGTTTGTGTGTGTGTGTGTGCGTGTGTGTGTGTGTGCCCAGGCTCTCTCTCTCTCTCTCTCTCTCTCTCTCTCTCTCTCTCTCTCTCTCTCTCTCTCTCTCTCTCTCTCTCTATATATATATATATATATCTACCTATCTGTGTGTGTGTGTGTGTGCCAAGGATCGATCGACCGATTATCTGATTCATCCACCCACCTATCGGTCAATCAACACGGATCCAACCCACCCAATCGAAGTGGACACAGAAGCTCAGAGCAAAGAAACACTTCGAGGCAGCTGCGAGAGAGCAACATTAAGGAGATGGCCACGCAGGAGAAGGAGGGTGCAGGGGTCGAACAAGGGGAACTGAAGGGAGAGAAGATGGGGAGTGTTCCTCACATGCGAGCTGCGGCTCCACGACACAAACACTCCCGGTAACTACCCAAGGACGAGGCGGCTCGGACAGAACGCAGAGTGGATTCGTTGTGAGTAAGCCACCAAGCAATAGGCGACTCGCCAATCCGATGTACTAGGAATTTGAGAAGAGAGAGCAAATCAACCCGATAGACCGCTTCAGGCAGCGGTTAGGAAGAGAAACTTCCACAAGCGCGGGAAAATAGGTGATGAGACGACAGATAAAAGACGTACAATGATGAGATGGCAAGCCCCGCGCCTCTCACCTTCTAGTATCTCGCACACCTGTCGCCTTCTAGTATCTCGCACACCTGTCACCTTCTAGTATCTCGCACACCTCTCACCTTCTAGTATCTCGCACACCTCTCACCTTCTAGTATCTCGCACATAAGCACGAAGGGTAGACAGCATCAAGGAAATCAACCTCATAACCCGCCAATGCAACACCAACAGACTAGTGACGGGCCCGGCCAGTGGCGCCATGCCTTCGATTCTTTAGTAACGAGAAGAGAAGATGGAGCGAGAAGAGCAAAAGCGACTTAGAAGGTCCCAATCAACCGAAGATGACGGGTGAAACAACAACAAACAAAATGTTCGATCGAGTTCGAGGAGGCGAAAAGTGGGAGCACCAGGGTAAGAGGTTGGGGGGGGTTGGCAAGCGTCGCGGAGGGCTATGTCAGAGGATCCGCCTTCGTCACATCTGTCGTGTCGGCCCCCCACAGGCTTGAATTGAAGATGGCTCCAAATGGAAACCAGGCTCGCTCGCGGTGCAGCGGGCGCTCGAGGGATCGATCTGTCTTCTTCTGGAGGGTAACACGAGTCCAACACCCAACGGTATTGAGTCAGGAAATGCCTACCAGTCCCGATTCTCCACCTGGCTGTTAGTTGAATGTGATTATGGAAGTAGAGTTGAAATTAGCTGGGGACAAGGATGTTGCCAGCAGGGAATCAATTTCACAGCCCTAAGGGGCTCGCCATATATTTTTCTCTCACCGTGGGACAGCCATATATTTTTCTCTCACCTCACGTATCTTAGGCTATCCAGGGGACCCCTGCAAACATATCTTAGGCTATACAGGGGACCCCTCTCTTCGTTGAAGGGAGGTTACCTCTCTCGGTGGAGAGGGGTAATGGCACGTTCGCAGCCCGTCAGGGGTGCGTTTTCCCCCCCTGAGACATTCCCCCCGGAGACATTTTCGTCGTCCTTCGTTATACCAGTCGTTGATTCAGGCTTGTTTGGTCGTTGGAAGGTTCGAAAAATGCAGGCAGGTGCAGGCACGACACTTTGGGGAGTGGTGGCAGTTTCTTTGAAATTTGCGGGACCGGTGGCTGCCCATGGCACCGCTGGGTTTTGGTCAAAATGGTGGCGAAGTAGCGGCAGGGTGGATCTTTGGGGGATGGTGGCAGTTTCTTTGAAAAATGCGGGACCGGTAGCCGCCCGTGGGACCGCGCACTGGGTTTTGGTCGAAACGGTGGCAAAGCAGCGGCAGGGTGGAAAAGTGGAAAAGTTTGCAGCCCGTCAAGGATGCGTTTTCCCCCCTGAGACATTTCCCCCTGAGACATTTTCGTCGTCCTTCGTTATACCTGTCCTTGATTCGGGCTTGTTTGGTCGTTGGAAGCTTCGAAAAATGCAGGCAGGTGCAGGCACGACACTTTGAGGTGTGGTGGCAGTTTCTTTGAAAAATGTGAGACCGGTAGCTGCCCATGTGACCGCTCGCTGGTTTTTTGTCGAAACGGTGGCAAAGCAGCAGCATGATGGATCTTTGCCGGGGGGGTGGCAGTTTCTTTGAAAAATGCAGGACCGGTAGCTGCCCGTAGGACCGCGCGCTGGTTTTTGGTCGAAACGGTGGCAAAGCAGCGGCAGGGTGGAAAAGTTTAAATCAGAAAAGGCGCAGCCTTGCCCGCAGGTTGAAACGACATACCTGCATTGCATTTGCAAGTGCAAACAGATGTGTCTGAACGTGGACGTATTCAACGCCCTACACTTCAGCGCCCAATTGAGTGAGTCACATGAGACAAAACAACTTTTATTTAATTAAAAAAAAAAAACACTTCCAACAACAAACACTCAAACACACACATATACGACATATGGACCAAGATTCAAGGACCACCAGCCTCGACACCAACTACGAATCAAGGTATGTCAAATATCTAATACATTAATATCATACAAATTACCTAAATCCCACACATTCCAACACTAACAAATGCGATGAACACAAACACCCTAAGTATCACACAAACACACACACACACACTAATCTTGACACATACACACAAATAATCCTTTTTTTTCATGCAACAATCGCCCTACTTCTAAACCTCACCAATAACGCCTCCTTTATCAATCAAGCATATACAAACTATGGGTTGCGCACCCGTGCCCTCACGGTAAGTTAATTTGCCCCTTTGCCCTAGCGTTTTAGGGTGCAGGATTGGGGCCGCCGGTGGAGGCCTGACTAACACAAAGACCGGACATTTGTCAGTAACTGTGCCTCCATTTTCATTTTCCCTCACCTCCATTGAGTAACAGTAGTGTCTAAAGCCAACACTCTCCCACATACCACACACAACCCACTCACACACGCACTCACACCCGTGTTGGTTGAAGACCTTACGGATACTGACGGGGAGGATCCAACTGACTTTCTCAGTTGGTTGGCACCAAGAGTGTTACAGGCGGCCATGGGGATTTAACCCACAACCTCTTGAATGCCACTTGCGTGCCTAACCAATTGAGCTAGGCCGCTCGATAACCGTGAAATGTTTCAAGAGCTGTCATATATTTTCAAGAGTTTTTCCAGAGTTTCAGGGGCTCTGTTATTGAGGTTTTCAAGAGTTTTTTGGGCCTTGTTATTGGGTCTCGACTCACGAACAATTTTGAGAGTAGTTCGAGAGTTGTCAGACCCCCAACACTCTAAAAAATTGCAGCTTCGCTCCACCTACTCTCTTACACTGCAATCTCTAAATTATACAGTGTTGCAAGACATCACTAAACTCGAACGCCTCTTTTGCGTATCCAGACTCGAGGTGAGTTATTGAATATGAAAGCAGCTCGAAAGGCATGGCGGAGCACCCTCAAAATCCGAAAGCTTGCAAATTGAGGACTCTCAAACCCTCAAAAGCCAGTTCTGATAGCTCTCGACTCAAATTTCGAGATCTTATTTCGCGAGTTAAATGGAGTTATGCCAAACTCACTAAAATTTGTGAATCGAGAGCAGTTGAGCAAGACCCATTAAATAAAGGACACATTATGTCGGGGGGGCCCGGAGAACGCAGCCCTATAGTAGCCAAAGCAATGG